GGGCAGGCGCCGCGGGTGCCAGAGCCGCTGCTCAGATCCAGCCTTTCCAAGGGACTCTTGGAAATAGAAAAACCAGAGTCCAGAATCACTGAACGTTCCTATGGGAAAAGTGTGTAGAACGGGTTTTTTTTTGCCCATCCTCATTAGGGAATTTTATTTGAGTAGTTACTGGTTAGCACTCAACTCACAGCTTTGGGAGTTGTTAGCTCTCCACTTTGCTGGAAAAGGGATATTCCTGTGGTTCAGGAGGTTCCTGCATCAGAGGGTCCCGTTTTTGGAGCAGAGATTTCTGCTGATAACCCCAGGGACAGAGCTACGCCAGCTCTTGGCTGTATAACCTCATCCCGCACTCTCCAGACCCAGGAGACCTGCTGCAGGAGCAGGATACGGCCCTGTGCTGGCTGGGAGGTTGGTACCTGCAGTGCTGCGCGGGGCACATTCTGCACGGCCCCAGCCCAGAGCTGCCCCAGGCCCCAGCGGTCTCGGCTGACGTTGTCTGGTCTGTCCTACCGCAGCACCCAAATGTGCGTGTGTGTGCATCGTTTTTGGGAATACAGGCGAGAAGCTGAAATGCAAAACTCCCCGTACACATTTCCACAGATGCGTCTATAATGCCCATTTGTTTATACACACAGAGCTCTGCATCTCAGCTTCTCTCCCCTGTTCCTAAAAACTGTTTGATTTTCAAGTCCGTTTACACACACTGTGCATCAGCATCATTAAATATGAATATACCATAAATAATAACTAAAAAATGTTGAACAATTATTGATAGCTCGATGCCACAAACAGGTCTGTATCCTTGGCAACAGAGCAGCTCTCACTGTCCATAAAGTCCCTAACGAATGCAAACAATTTTTGCTGGCAACTTAAAAAACCTTGCCCATTTTTCAGGAGTGTTTTTAAGTCGTACAAATACAGTTCATTAGTCTGTTCCTCAGCAGACAAATACTGCTGATATTTAATATTTTTTTTTCTGAGTGATGGAGAGTTTTTCTTGCACTGTTGAGTGTTCAGGTAGCTCTAAAAATGATATAAAATTTCAAGATAAACCTCAAAGCCAAATAGAGATGCAGAACAAAAGGTGGAAAGACATTGAACTCGCATTCCCTTTAAAAGGATTATTTTTAAATCACAGTCTTATATTTTAATATGTACTTTTGATGTGTATTTTTAAAATCCAAAATGTATTAGATGTTTGTACTCATAGAAAAAAAAAATAATCCCCTGGCCTTCTATGAAGACCCGTAAACAAGGACAGGAATAATAAGGAATTACAAGTGGCAAGTGTGTGGCAGCCCGGCTCCCATCCATCTGATCTATTTATACCCAGAGCTTGCTGGAGTTCCCCTGTGACCGCTGCCAGCCGTGGCCATTGCTGTCCCAGTAAAACCAGTGCATTTTCTTTTCAGATGAGCCCTCTATGTCCGAAATGAGCCATTCCAATGGGATTTACAGCAATCTCAATGAAGCATCCCCTGCTCTGGGGAGACAGGCTGGGACCAATGGGAGCTTTGCTCTGGATCACAGCGCTATCCCAGCTCAGGACCAGTACCACGACCTGCGATCCAACAGCCCCTACGGGATACCCCAGTCACCAGCCTCCTTGCAAGCACTGCCGGGCCACCAGCCTTTAATCTCCAGCTTGGTTTACCCAGACAACGGCTTGGGCATCATGGGACAAAGCGGACAAGGGGTGCCCCAGTCCATGAGGGTCCTGGCTGGGAATGGACCCAGCTCTGACCTCTCCACCGGCAGCAGCGGGGGATATCCAGATTTCCCTGCCAGCCCGGCCTCTTGGCTGGATGAAGTCGACCACGCTCAGTTTTGATACAGGGTCCGCCACCGTGCAGTGGGAAGGGGAAGGACTCGGTGCTGTTAAACGTCATCTACTCTCAGAAATGAAGGAGGGACGAGCTGCAGCTGCTGAGCGGGGCAGGAAAGGTGACGATGTGGAGAGAGTGGCCGTGCTTGCGGAGGGTGACCGGAGGACGGTGGGCAAAGGCAGTCGCACCGCAGTGATTAGCATACGGAGCATCCAATGAAACCAATTATTGTGTCTTTACTAAACACCAAGACTTGTGCTTTACAGATTTGATATAAGGTATTTTGCTTTCTGTTGTCAGTGCATTCTGCAAAGCAAGGACTTGCTTCATCCCCCATCCACACCGAAACCTTTTTAAGAGAAAATAAAGTCCTCATCCACGGTAAAAGGTGTGACAATGTCTATATTTCTATAGGAGAAATGTTAATAGTGAATCACTTCAGAATTCCATGGTAGAAAACTTCTCAGTTCTTCCAGCAGGTTTTTTACAAAGCGCACCAATGCGGTATGGTTTGGTTTATTTTGAATTTACGTTAACTTTTCTAAAATGAAATGCTCTTTAATATGCCAATTGTTTACCGACAGCCCTTTTCCTTTGTAAAATGAAAATCATATGTTTATCCTGCCTCTCATCTTTTTAATTTGTAGATTGCTAGTTTTATTCTTCCACGTAAGCATTGAACGCTGAATAGATGTATTTATTACCAAATAACTACACTTTTATTACGAGGTCAAAAGGTGATTTTTCTTGACCCAGGAACACTCGCAGCTCTGGGGTGTGAATCTTACACTTTTCTTTCAAATTCCTTTGCAACGGTTTTACTGCAAAGTATCTCAAAAATCACCCTGATGTCTTGTTGCCAAATACCTTCTCGGGGGGCGGGGGGATGGTGTCTCTCAGCAGGGGGGTTCGGCTGGGTTAGTTCAAGCCATTCTGCAGGCAGCGCTGGGAGCGTGTCGGAGTGAGCACATGCTGTCCTGGTGATTTCCCTGTTCCAGGCGTTCGTGTATGTCCAGAGCTGATTGTGAGGAAAGGCAAGACAATGTGTATATTGTTCTCTGTAAAAAAATTATTGAATTAACTGTAGATTATGTGAGTGTCCAGTGTCTTTTATTTATATTCTCGCTTTCTCTCTGATGATCAAATACTTCAAGATTACAAATAAATTTGTCAGCTAAACTTTAAATAGTCTTTTGCTAAATTCACATCAAAAGTATTAATAGCAGTAAATACCAGACCTGAAAGCAAAAGGAAAAGCCCTCAAACCTCTATGCTGTGACTCAACAAAATGCTGAAATATACTCTTCCCTTTAAATACAAGAGCAAACGCACCGACATGAAAATGCTTTGACAAGCAGGAACAAAAAAAAGACAGTTTTGGAAGCAGTCAAGCTGATTTTGACGGTTCATGGTCATTTTTCAGCGTTGATTGCAAAGGTGGAAGCAGAAATCTGTGCTGATAGAGCAACAGAAAATAGCGGAGTCGGATACTGTCTGTGAACAGAAAGTTGGGCACATGAAGCACTAGAGGTCAGATATCGGAACATTTCAAAGAGAAATCAGAAATTCCCTAAGGAATTAAGCTTGACTGAACATGTGCATCCCGTGTGTGTGTGTGCACAGACGAGAGGTGCGTGCACACACGCATCTTCATGTGTAAATGTCTGTGGTCAGGCGCCGCGGAGCAGAGCGAAGCACTTTGCTGGTCTGAGTTAAGAATCAGATGGGAGACACTTGGTAAAGCACATGGGCTTTCAGATTCCCCTGGGAAGTTGGGGAATATTTGTACCGGGGTCTTCCGTGTATCAAGCACCGTTGAGAGTGTGAAGCTGGGACCAGCAGCACCTCCGGCAGGGACACAGCTCCAGGCTCAGCGGCACAGCTCCCTCTGGCCCCAGCCCCATGGGCGATGCTCTGGCCCATGCTGTCCCATGTGTGACAGGGGACCCCACAAGAAGAGCCACGCTGTCCCCTGGAAGCTGCTGGCACCCCGGCACAGCACGTGTTGCTCTAGGCACTCACCAGCAGTGACACCTGGAAAGTCCAGATTTTTATTCCTCATCTTTCCTAAGGTGCAGGAAGAGAGTGCCGTGTGGCTCTCTCCGGCCCCTTGCTAGGATCGCCCTCGCTGTTTGCAGCCGTGGCGGGACATGTGCTTGTCAGAACACCCGCCCATCACTCCCTGCTTCCTGGGCCTTTGCTCGGAGAGGGTGGGACACTGACCTCTCCAGAAATGAGCGGGTATTGGCAATGTTTGCAAAAGATACAGATTTGCAAACTCCTTGCTAACCCCCAGCGCTGCGTAAGCATCTTACAGATCTTCCCCGTCCGGAGGCACACGCGTTGCATCTGAGGAGAAGAAACACATCCAGTTTCTGCTCCCCATGAGCTGCCAGAAGCTTGCCCAGCGCCAAACGGGTACGTGCGTACTGCCCTCGTGCTGCCATATTCACTCAACACAGAAAATCACTCTTTTTTTTCAGGAGACCCAGTCCAAGAGCGAGAGCAGGGAAGGGAGAAGCCCCGCTGCGTGTCACCATGGGCCTTTTGGTGTGAAAACACCACACCAGCTGGGACCTGGGGGATGACACATGCAAATTTGATTGTGTCTCTGCTCCTGGGGGATTTTTCAGAAGGGTGAAGCTGTGTCTCCTGCAGCCAGGGCAGAAATTTGCCTTATTTGGGTCTGAGCTCTCGAGTTCGAGCCCTGAGCTGGGCTCAGCAGCAAAAGCATGGGGCTGCTTTTTCTTCCTTCCCTAGAACTGAGGAATAGAGACAACTGTTGCTGCCAGCCCATAGGTACATTGCAAGGACAATTCTTATGGAAATTTATGTAGTAAATGGGATTTTAAAAAAGCAGATTACAGAATTCTATCCAAAGTGAAAACGAGTTTGTTTTATTCTGTTTCCTTTTTTTTATAATCTAGAAACACCCTCACCAAATCTAAGTGCTTGCATCCAAACACTTTGACAGTTCAAGTAGAAATAATATTTTCCTATAAAAGACTAAAAAATATTCTAAAATAATATTATTTCCTAAAAAAGAAAGTAATAAGAACAGAAAGACAGGAATGTAGTTGATTTTAGGAGAATGTTGCTGTTATAAACCCACTGTTTAGAAACTGCAGTAATTGAACATGTATTGTATAGATTTTTTTTCATCATTTCTATCCCAGCAAATAACGGGGCCGTTGTTCCTCTCACTCTGGGAATTGCCAGCGGATGGCTGAATTTAAGAAAGGGAGAAATGCAGATGTCCCCCTCTGCCTTTGTGCTTCGCTCCGAAAGGCAGAACAGGGCTGAAAGTTGCTGGCGCTTGTGCTCATCTGAACGCAGAGAAGAGCTCCCCAAACACCCTGATACAAAATTCAGGGATTGCGTTTCAGCCTCTCCTTTCAGGGCTGAGGCTCAGGGATTCCATTAATATAAATGCTTTCTTCCCGTTAAAAAGAAAACCAATTTAAAAGAAGCAAATAAAAGTAACACTATCCGAGTGACTGACAGCTTGTAAAACCCAAAGAGAATTAGGAAGAGGAGGTTTGCGTCACTCAGTTTGCAGGTGAGCTTCCCAACCTCCGCTGATCTGCGTGAGTGCACGACAGGGGAGGCAGGACATTTTTTGTGCCCCCAGTGAGGAAAATCTAATGTATGAATCTCTTTTTTTCCCAAACATTCATCTTTCAGAAGCAGTTATGCCCTTGCAAAATGATTAGATTTTGGTGCCAAACAGTAGAAGTAACTTGTTTTTTTCTCATTCTGATTTCCTGTGTGAGGTCAGTGGAAGAAAACCCCTTGTGCTAGGAGGGACAGACACCACCACAGTCAAATATTTCCTGCAGTTTCTGCGGGGGTGTCAGCCCTGCGATGGAACCTGTTTATTGCAGTAACCTGACGCCCGTAAACCCATCCGGGAGCAGCGAGGCCAGTGCGAGCCATGTGCCAGGAGAGCGGCTAATCTGCCCAGCTCTGCTCACATGGCTTCTGCGGGAGCTACAACTTGAGGAACCAGTGGGATCCCAGTCAAGAAGGGCTGGGACACGGGGTTTTGTCCTGCCTGACCCAGGGGAGAAAAGCAGGGTGTCCTCATTGAGGTCTTGGGGACAGCCTGCTGCCCCAGGGCACAGGGCTTGGGGACTTTAGTACTGCCCTGGGGATGTCAGTGTCCCTTTGGGGATGTGGTCCGGGAAAACTCTCGCCACGGGGAGCAGGGAAGGTGGCTGGGGCTGGGACATCCTTGGGCTCTGATCCAGTGGCTTCTCCCAGGTGTGTCGGAGCAGCCAAGCCCCTGCCTGTTCCCACCAAGTGCCGTGGGAACAAGGCAGGAAAAGGGACCTGTGTGATTTATACACTGAAATCACATTTAAAAGCAGCAAATGACTTCGTTAAAACCTGATAAGAAAACCAAGCTGGCAAAAATATGCCGAGAAAAAAAGCCAAGGTGTTTAAATTATTTTTTTTTTCCCTTTCTGACATCTTTATTATGTGTTGAGGTGGGAGTACATTTTGCACTAAGCCACACGTGCAGGCGTGCTTGTTGGCACACGGGTATAGAGGATAGGGAAAAGAGCCCGGGGAAAATGTTGATTTAGGATGCAGAAAGTACCCCTTTTTTCCTCAGCATTTTGCAATCTGGGGATGAAAAATCATTTTAATAGCAGAATATGCAAGGCTTCTGGCTTTAAATGAACTTTTCCATGTTAGAACACAGTCTATTCCTGCACATTATTTCTCTTGCAGCGTACACACACACACACACAAGCGCATGTGTGAGTGGAGTGTCGGGAAGATATCTGTATTGCCTACGGAAAACACAGACCGTGATCCTCTGACAGCACATGCTATTTAAACGGTGTTTTCTGGTTTATAAGCAGAAAATCCATATTGGCTATCAAGATGTTTTATCTTCTTTCCACTCGGAATGAAGACTCAGGGAATTTCTATCAAACGAATAAAGGAGATGTGGTGTAGCTCCGGGGGTTCTGAGGCCAAGCAGCCAGCACTAGTG